ACTGTTTAACCAGTTTGTACCTCTTCGTGAACAAGAACAAAGAGTACCCAATTGGACATCCACAAATCATCTGTCAAAACTTTGAGGACATAAAAAATTATTTTGGGCTTACCAAAGTCAGGGTGTACCCCCCAAGGAACCTTTATTTTCCGGTTCTACCCTACAAATCACAGGGTAAATTAATGTTTAGTTTGTGTGCAACATGCACAGAGAAACAACAAACCACCATATGTAACCATACTGATGAAGAAAGAGCTCTGACCGGGACATGGTGTACCATTGAACTGAATGTAGCTTTAGAGAAAGGTTACAGAATTGATGAGATCTATGAGATCTGGCATTTTGAAAGAAAAGCAGACACCCTATTTTCAGGTTATATGAATAAGCATCTCAGACAAAAGCAAGAGGCCAGCGGCTACCCCGCATCGTGCCGAACAGAACAGGATAAAGATCGATTATGAAAAGATGGAAGGGGTCCGCTTACGACGTGAGCATATTGAAGTAAACCCTGCTCAAAGGCAGATTGCCAAGCTCTTTTTAAACTCTCTTTGGCCAAAGTACTAACCATCTGACCACCTCTGTGATCACAAATCCTGAGGAATTATTCAAATATCTTTTTATACCCTATTATGAAGTATCCTCATGTGAGTTGGTGGACACAAAGACGGCTATTGTGACATGGAAAATAGCTAAGGACCACCCAACCAAAGCCTCGTGTACTAACGTGTTCATCGTGAGTTTTACAATGGCTTATGCATGGCTAGAATTATACAAGTTACTGAATGGCCTAGGCGATAGGTGCCTGTACCATGACACCGATTCAGTCATTTTTATAAGTAGAGATGGGGCGTGGACACCTCCTTTGGGCAATTATTTAGGACAGTTGACGAGCGAGATCCCTCCAAACACCACGATCACAGAGTTTGTGGCGGCGGGTCCCAAAACATACGGCTACTCCTTATCCAATGGGGAAATGGTGCTGAAGGTGAAGGGGATCACGCTAAACAGCGGCAATTGTGACAAGGTTAATTTTGACAGCTCAAAAGAATTGGTAGATGATTACTGCTTGGCTGGTGCAGAGAGAAAAAAAGAGATCAGGGTAGAACAACCTGGTATTATCCGGAATAAGAAGCAGTGGGCTCTAGAGACAAGAGTCCTCAGAAAAACCCTAAAAATGGTCTATAATAAAAGGGTGCTAAAGAGTGAGGATTACTGCATGCTGCCGTACGGTTATTAAGGATAATGGAAAATATTGCTCAGTTTGTACACCCTTTTTCTTGTATTATAAGTGAACCATCCAATTCTGGCAAATCTTATTTTATCAAACAAATGTTAGAAAACAGTACCACTGTGATGTCTCAAATGCTGCAAAATATTGTATGGTTTTATAGCTGCTGGCAACCTCTCTACAAAGAACTGCTTAATAAAATACCCTATATTAAATTTATGGAGAGTCTTCCAGCTTCCTTTGAAGATGATGATTTGTTCCCACCAAACCAAACCAATCTAGCCGTGGTAGACGATCTCATGACTTCAGCCAGTGAGAGCGACCAAATACAGAAGGCTTTTACGTAGTACGTTCATCACAAGAACCTGAGCATTATTCTCATACTTCAAAATCTGTTTTTTCAAAGTAAAAAAATGAGAACAATAGCCCTGAATTCCAAATACAGTGGTACCTCGGGATACAAACTTAATCTGTTCCGTGACTCTGGACGTATCCCGAGTTGGTTGTAACCCGAAGCAAATGTTCCCATAGGGTTCAATGTAAATCCGGTTAATCTGTTCCGCCCTCCGAATTTGGTCGCAACCCGAGGTGAATTTCCCCATAGGGTTCAATGTAAATCCGGTTAATCTGTTCCGCCCTCCGAATTTGGTCGCAACCCGAGGTGAATTTCCCCATAGGGTTCAATGTAAATCCGGTTAATCTGTTCCGCCCTCCGAATTTGGTCGCAACCCGAGGTGAATTTCCCCATAGGGTTCAATGTAAATCCAGTTAATCCGTGCCACCCTCCGCCCGAATTTGGTTGCAACCCGAGGCAATTTTCTCTTCAGAGCCTTACTCCCGCCAAGCCTGCTCTGCATTTTCTTTGGAGCCATGCTAACACGCACACCAAAAACCTTCGCAAAACACCACAAAACACACCACAAGCCTCACCGAACGTCTCCTTGCTACCGTGACCAAACCCACAGGAAGCCGCGACCACGTGGCAGCAGGGAAAATGGCCGCGGATCCGGTTCGTAAGTCGAGGCGAGTTTGTAACCCGAGGTAAATTTTCCCTGCCGAAGCTGGTTGTAACCTGAAATGTTTGTTAGTAGAGGCGTTCGTATCCCGAGGTACAATTTCCCTGCCGAAGCTGGTTGTAACCTGAAATGTTTGTTAGTAGAGGCGTTCGTATCCCGAGGTAC